TTTTATGAGGTCACAATTACCCTGAAGTGGAAACCCATGAAGACCTAACTTAAAAAGGGAATTCCAGGCAGATAGGTGTGGTGAGGGCTTTTTCTCAGCACTAGGTAGGCAAAGGCAGCAGTATTTCTACATATTCAAGGCCAGTCTGGTCTACAGAGCAAGTTCTAGGACAACCAATGCTTTTATACAGAGAAACCCTGTCTCAAAAACAAAAATAAACAAACTAAATCAAAATGAGGAAGGAGGGTGATATAGAGAAAGTATTACAGAATTATTTCTCAATTTACCTTATGAATATCATGTAAAAATTCTCAATAAAATACTGGCAAACCAAATATAGGACCACTTTCAAAAGATTATGTACAATGTTAAAATAGACTTCATTTCAGAGATAAAGGAATGGTTCAATATACATATATAAATAATTTGATTCACCATATAAACAAAGTAAAATATAATAACATAATAATCGTTTCATTAGTAAAGGCCTTTTCCTAAACACAATATTCCTTCCTATGAAATGTCCTAAAAGAGACTAGAGATATTAGGAACTGAGGTCTGGTATGTGAGAATTGTCTGTATTCTGTCAATCATGTTTTAAATAAATGCTAATTGGCCAGGCAGGAAGTATAGGCAGGAAAACCAGACAGGAAGTAGAGATGATGCAATGAGAACAGGAGAATTCTGGGAAGGAGAAAGCTGATTCCTCCCAGTTCTGCCAAGACCACAGAAGAGGCAAGATGTGAGCTGCCCCGCTGAGAAAGATACCGAGTCACGTGGCTAATGTAGATAAGAATAATGGGTTAATATAAGCTACAAGAGCTAATAAGTGGCCTGAGCTAATGGGCCAATCAGTTTTATAACTTATGGAGATCTCTGGGTGATTTTCTTTGGGGCTAAACAGCTGTGGGAACCAGGCAGGACAGAAACCCCCAACAAGCAGGCCTCTTCATGTTACAGAGGTCTATATAATAAAGGTGACTAAGAGTTAGCCCATAGACAAAGTCAACCTAAACAGAAAATCCCAAACCATTTCTACTAAAATCAGGAACAACCATATTCCTCTTTTTGGTTCTGGGTTACTTCACTCAGTAAAGCGTTTTCTATGTCCATCCATTTGCATGCAAAATCCAAGATGTCATTGTTTTTTACCGCTGTGTAAAACTCTAATGTATATATGTTCCATACCTTTTTTAAACCATTCTTCTATTGAGGGGCACCTAGGTTGTTTCCAGGTTCTGGCTATTACAAATAGTGCTGCTATGAACATAGTTGAACAAATGCTTTTGTGGTATGATAGGGCATCTCTTGGGTATATTCCCAAGAGTGGAATTGCTGGGTCTTGAGGGAGGTTGACTCCCAGTTTCCTGAGAAACCGCCACACTGATTTCCACAGTGGCTGCGCAAGTTTGCATTCCCACCAACAATAGATGAGAGTTCCCCTTTCTCCACATCCTCTCCAGCATAGGCTATCATTGGTGTTTTTGACTTTAGCTAATCTGACCGGTGTAAAATGGTGTCTCATAGTTGTTTTGATTTGCATTTCCCTGATCACTAAGGATGTTGAGCATGACCTTAAGTGTCTAAGTGGATTCTAGCCATAATAATGTCTTTGAGTCTATTATTCGTGATCCTAGAGAAGCTAAATAAGAAGGTGAACCTGAAGAAAATCATGTAGTTATCCTCCTGGAGATTGGAAGTAGCCAAGAGTGCCAGGCTACTTCGGGTGTATGGGGGGGTGGGAGGGTTGTTGGAAGGGGAGAGGGTTAGAGAGAAGGGAGTAGGGGAGGAATGGGGAAAGCTAGGTGGACTGGGATGGGGGGAGGGAGGAAGGATGGATATGGGATCAGGGAAGTATATATCTCAACTAAAGGAGTCGTTTTAGTGTTTACAAGAGACTTGATTATAAAGGGGATCCCAGGTCCAAGGAGAGATCCCCGGATTGTTCTCTGGACAGGGGAGAGGGTGCCTGAGCCGGCCGTGGCCCATAACCATGCTGATGAGTGGTTTGCATGTCACCATGGAATCTTCATCTGGCGATGGATGGAGACTGAGACAGAGACCCACGTTGGAGCACTGGACTTAATTCCCTAGGTCTGAACGAGAAGCAGAAGGAAAGAAGCAGAAGAGAACGTGAGCAAGGAAGGCAAGACCAGAGGGAACCTTCACCCGTTGATGGATGGAGATTGAGACAGAGACCCACATTGGAGCACTGGACTGAGCCCCCAGGGTCTAGATGAGGAGTGGAAGGAGGGAGAACATGAACAAGAAAGGCAGGACCGCGAGGAGTGCGTTCACCCACTGATACAAGGGGACTGATCTAATTGGATTTCACCAGGGCCAGTTGGACTGGGACTGAACGAGCATGTGATCCGGCCAGATTCTTTGAATGTGGCCGGATTCTCTGAGTGTGGCTGGCACGGGGTCTTTCTGAAAAGCCATTGACAATGACATTGGGACTCGTTTCCTCTGCATATACTGGATTTTTGGGATCCAGTCTGTTTGGATGCTCACCTTCCTGGACCTGGAGGGAGGGGGGAGGAGCTTGGGCTTCCCATAGGGCAGGAAACCCTGACTGCTCTTGGGGATGGAGGGTGAGGATGAGAGGGAGTGGGGGGGTTGGGGGGTGTTGGAGGGGCAGAAATGGAAACTTTTATAAATTGATAAACTTTTATAAATAAAAAAGAATAAAATAAAAAATATTAAAAAAAATCAGGAACAAGATAGAAATGTCCATTTTCTCCATATCTTTTTAATATAGTATTCGAAGTATTAGCTATGGTTCTAAGACAACTGAAAGAAATCAAGGTAATGAAAATAGGAAAGGAAGAATAAAAAATAATCCTTATTTGTGGATGATATGATTATATCTATAAAACACTAAAAAACTACACCAGGACCATCAACAGCTGAAACACTCTTTCACTAAGTGTCAGAATACAAAATTAACACACAAAAATTAGCAGGTTTTCTATGTACAGTTGGGAACTGTACTTAGAGAGAAATCAAAGGAAAAATGCTTTTTACAACATTCTAAAACAACGAGAACAAGAATAGCAAAAAAACCCTCAAACTAACCAAACAAAAAACCCAAATAAACAAACATATCTTAGTGTATTTCTAACAAAAAAGTGAAAGATTTTTTAAGATAAAAACTTCAAGACTTTGAAGAAATAGACGAAGATATCAGAAGATGGAAAGCACTCCTGTGCTCATGGATCAGCAGGATTAATATAGTGAAATGGCCACTATATCAAAACAACTCATGATTCAATGCCATCTGTGTAAAAATTCCAACATAATTGTTCATGAAAATTGAGAGGAGAATTTTCAGCTTAAAAACACAAAAGAGCCAGGATAATTAAAAGTATACTGGATGATAAAAGAATGACTACTAGTATCACTATCTCTGATTTCAAATTATTCTACAGAGCTATAGCAATAAAAATCAACATGATATTGACACCAAAAGAAAGAGGTTGAAGGAATCATGTTATGAGTTTGTTGTCAAAATTACTTGATCCATGAAAGAATATCCATGTCAAACACCACATATGAACTGGCTCTGTAGCTATTTAGATGCAATATCTGTGACCAGCATCTTGATTGACAGAGCAGCAGGGACCCCTAAGCTACCAATAGGGTCTCCTGCCACAACTACAAGGATTCCATGACTTCATGGTGACTTTTATGTTTCTTACATTTAGACCTAGGAAATATCATATATATGTGATTCACTATTTTCTTTTAAACAATTAAACATGAGAATAGTGTTTGAATGTGTGAATGAATGAATATGTCCAAGTTACTTGTTTAGGAAGTTCAGGGGATGGCTCCAGGTCTCCTGGAGCAGGGAATACAGGTTGTTCTGAGCTGCTCAAGATCAGCATTGGGCATTTGGTTCAAGTTTATGGGAAAAGAAGCAAGTTTTCTTAATTGCTGATTCATCTATCCAGCCCTTTATCACTTTTGCAAAAATGGCTAACATTAGCCAAAATTCCAGCCAGGACCGGGAGTATGCAAAAAGTCTCCCCTCTAATGAAGAGATATGGGTAGCTAGAGGCTACTCAAAGAGTAGATTCAGTTTTCAATCATGAATTTGGCCACCAGTAGGTTATTCATGCTTCAGAGCATGTCACTAAATTTGAAGCACACCAGCAAGTCATAGTGCACTTGGTGCTTTAAGAAAGTGTATGAAGTTGTAAGAGAGAATGGTACAGTGAGAGAATTGAAAAAGTTTGACAATTAGGTTGAAATATAGTTGTGGTTTTGATGAGGAGTCATTGTATACATATATTAAACTCAAACAATAAGAATGAGATTTAAAAATGACATTCATTTTTTGTTTTGTCTTTCTTTTATGTTCTTTGTGCCAGATAGAAAGCCATAAATTAAATTATTGATTCACATTTGTGTTTATATTTGAAGTATATAGAGAAAAATTGTGCAGATTTCTCCCTAGCAACTGTCTTGGTCAGGAATGGGTGATTCTCTCTAACCACAAGTCCAAGCACATTAACCTCTTTTTCATATGCTTCCCTGAGTGGGCTTCATGCCACTGGAAATTTTCTGTATTTTTCGGATGTGTTTCTGTATAACTGAGCCTAGAGAAGTGTGAAACAACAAAGAAATAAAGTCAAATTATGGTAGAGTCTTTATCTTAATGATGATTGTTCAAAGGCCAAGTGACGTTTATTCTCTATGATGTTGTCTTTTGCATCCCTGAGATGTACATATAATGGAAGACTAGAAATTATATAACCACTAGCATTCTTTACTTTAGTGAAATGTGTGAAATAAGTGTAACCTCAAAATTTAATTACAGCAGGGAAGAAGTGTCAAGGACAATGCGTAGGTACTAATCACGCACAAAATGAAAGTCTATGAGTCCCTTAGGTGTCACTGTAAATTTTTTTTACAGCTCCTCATGTCACCAAAGTCATGAAAATGAGATTATATTACCTGTTGAGAAAGGCATAAAGTAGTCACTTTTCTTAAAGTTTCCTTTTGCATCCAGAAAATGAGCAGGATCAAACGTCTCTGGATTGGGGAATTCGTTACTGTCATACAACACTGATGATAGTGATGTTATTATGGTCGTTCCCTGCAAACAACTCACACAAAGACACCAAGTTACAAAGATATCATGGCTCCATAAAGTAGGTACAAAGAAGATCGGGGACATTTCGACAGACAGAATATGAAGGGAACAGGGTGGAGTCTGAGACAAGCCACAGTGATATGGCTAATGTGGCCCTACTGAATTTGAAGTCAGCACTTAGGTTTTGATAGTAATCCTTCTGAGTCTGTTCCCTTTCCCTGCACACTTGGCCATGGGTGTTTCAACACCTGTTTCTCTAGTTTATCAGTTGCTTTATATAAGTCACATGGGTCATGATATCATGTGGAGAGCTGTACTGTATGTAATAATACAGGAACTCATTCATGATGGAACACAAAGTCTAGACACACAAACATCAACTGGTTTTTCTCATGGACAGAATTCAGATATAGATGCATTCCTACAGGTGAACAAAGGAATGGTCTCTTCTCACATGTATTGTCTATTGTATAAACACACATATACAAGCAGAATGGATGCTGTTTTCCAAGGGAACAGAACTAATGGAACACGAAAGGAAGCAATATAATTTTCTTTTTAAATTTATTCTTCTTTCATATTCTGCATCCTCATCTCCTTCCAATCCCCTTAGTCCCACAGTCTACTCTCTTTTTCAGATCCACTGCTGCTCTGTTTCCCTTCAGAAAAGGCAGGCCTCACAGAAATGTCAACTGAGCAAGGGATAACAAGATGCAATACTGCTATGCAAAAATCCCCATATCAAAGCAGGAAGATGAAACATAATAGGAGGAAAAGTGTACCACAAACAAGAAAATGTGCCAAAGATAACTGCACTGCCAGTGTTTGGAGCTCCACTAGAAACCCAAGATAAACAACCAATCTATACTTTCATAGAATATATTGCAGGCCCATGTAGGCACCATGATGGCTGCTTCAGTCTCTGTGTGCCCCTATCAGCCCTCCTGAGCTAATTCTGTGGGCTGTGTTCTCCTGGCTTCCATGACTCCTCTGAATCCTACCATCCTCCCTCCTCCTCTTCCACAAGATTTACAAAACTCTGCCTCATGTTTCACTGTCCGTCTGCATCTGTTCACATTAACTGCTAGAAGTAGCCTCTCTGACAACTGATCTATCTATGTAGCAGAATATCATTAAAAATCATCTCTTATTTTTTATTTTTTTGTCAATTCTCTTTCATTCTACCCTAGGTCTCTGGGTCATTTAACTCTTGTTTCCTGTGCATCCATCCAGGCAGCATTTGACTTGGGTCTCCTCTCCTGACATGGGCCTCAATTAGACAAGTCATTGGTTGGCCACTCCCACAAGTTCAGAGTTATCATTACCCCATAACATCTTGTAGGTAGGACAAATTGTTGGTCAAAGGTTTTGTGGCCCAGCTAGTATTCTAGTCCCTCACTGGAAGCTCTGACTGCTAACAGAAGATGAATGGTTTAGGCTCCTTAGCCCCTATTATTAGGGGTCCTAAGAATATACTTATAGATTCTAGGGATTTTCCCCTGTACTAGGTTTCCACAATGAACCCCCAAAGCTGGCAAATTTCAGCCATCTTGCCCCATATACTCTCCTTCCATCACCCTCATGTACATGATCCGTCCTTTTCCTATTCCCAATGGTGTTCTGTACCCACCAAATCTACCTCTCTTCCCAGGCTGATCCATGTATTTCCCTTGACTTTGCTTCTCTGGATCTGTGTATTAACAGTTATCCATTAATTAATATCAATTTATAAGTGTGTAGATATCATGTTTGTCTTTTCTGAGCCTGGGTTACCTTACTTGGAATGATTTTTTTTTTCTCGTTGCATCTATTTGCTTGCAAATTTCATGATATAATATTTAGAGACAATTTTTAGGGGCAATCTTTATTTTTTCCTGTTCATGGATCTTATAAACACAACTTCTATGAACATTGTTGTACAAGTGTGGTTTTGGTAGGGTGGATCATCTTTTTGAGTATATGCCCATCAGAGGCAAATTTGTTTCTTGAGGTAGATTGATTAACAATATTCACAGCAACATGGATATTAATTTCTATAGAGGATTTAAAAGTTTGTACTCCCACCAGCAATGTTGGAGCATCCAGCTTGCTCCACATTCTTGCCAACATGAGCTGTCATTTGTGCTATTGATCAGACATTCTAACAGGTATAGATGGAATCTCAAAATACTTATGGTTTATATTTCCATGATGGTGAAGGATCCTGGAAATTTAAAGTTTGCTCAGTCACTTGTGATTCCTCTATTGAGAATTATATGTTTACATATGTACCCTATTTTTAAGTGGGTGATTTTTGCTGATTTCTTGCTTTTTTCTTATTTAATTATTTAGTTATTAAAAATTTCCACTTCCTCCCTGCCTCCTTTTTCCCTTCCCTTCCCCACCTTCCCCTCCCTCTCTAGTCCTAAGAGCAGTCAGGGTTCCCTGCCCTGTGGGAAGTCCAAGGTTCTCCCCCCTCCATCCAAGTCTATAAAGGTGAGCATCCAAACAAACCAGGCTTCCACAAAGTCAGTTCATGCAGTAGAATCAAACAGTGATGGAGCATGTGATCAAACTGGACATTCTGAATGTGGCTGGCAATGAAGACTGACGGAGAAGCCAAGGACAATGACACTAGGTTTTGATTTCTCGCTTTTTAAATTCTTTATATATATTGGATTTTAGCTTATCAGATTTGAAATTGGTGAAAATCTTTTTCCATTCTGTAAGCTTCTGTTTTCTCCTATTGAGGGTGCCCTTTGTTTTACAGAAGTTTTTCAGTTTCATAAGGTCCCATTTATTAATTATTCATCTTGGTGTCTGTGCTATTGTGTTTTGTTTAGGAAATTGTCTCTTGTGCCAATATGTTCAAGGCTATTACTTAATTTCTCTTGTATCAGGTTTAGTGTGTCTGGTTTTCTCTTGAAGTCTTTGATCCACTTGTTTTGGTAGTTAGCCATTTCTGTCCCATTTTCAGTCTATTTACCTTTTAGTTATGTAAAAATTATAAGTAAAGTATTGTTATACTATGCTAAACCTCAGTACTAAAAACCACAATTCATATCTCAGGAAGATCCTTTTGCCACAACTTAATTAGATAAAAATACTTCCTCAATTATCCAACAACATTGATTTGACAGGTGGATATTGCAGTTACATTGATCAGAAAGGAAATTTATGAGCCCTTAGATCAGTCATACCTATTCACTCACTCAACTTTATCACATATTTATATTAACTTCATCTGCGCTCTAAATGAATCGTGGGTTGAAAGCATAATTTACATTTTGAGTTTCCCTAATTCCTTCTAGTCTCTGATTGCTCACACATTCTAAGTGTACTGATAAAATTTTAAAAACATTATATTTAAGTGAGGTTAGAAATTAAAATCCAGTTTAATTTCATGCCTTCTGAAGTTCATCAATTACTTCAACAAATTATATGGGCAATAGCGAAGAAAAAAGGATTAAAAATATAAATATACATAAAATATTATGTAAAAAAATTAAGTATAATTTAAATTCTATATACATTCTCAGATAAAACATTTGCTGCAGCTAATAAAATATATAAATTTAAGTAAATTAAGATCAATATAATGATTAAATCAATTGTTTCTATCAACCTTATCTAAAATGCAATATCAAGAATATTAATTATTCATTGAAACTCAAAGAAAATATTTCCAAACTACATCAATGAGAACAAATCATTATGGAGAAAAAACAAAGCATAGGTAAATTATGATATATCCTTTTTTAATAACTTGACTAATGCAGGATATAACCTCCTTCAAAGTATTTAGTAATTTTTTTCTCTATGATAAAAATCACAAAATGTCCTTAGATGAATTTGATAGAAAATTGAAACTACACCTGGAAATATAAAGTACCAGTATTCTTCCAAGCAAAATGTGGAAGGCTGAGCAAAAGTGAATTACTACTACTGTGTTATTGACTGCTGTAGGACTGCCTTCCTGATTATGAAGCAGCGTAAGAAACCCCAAAAAACAGTGTTACACAGAGAACTGGAACCATAATATGAACCTGGGCGCATTACTCGCACAGAAGTAGAGTAGAGAAGAAACAAGTTTACCTTGGGGATGAGGTAGTTCCTGAATTTAGTATCACAGGTCACTTCATGGGGTAGGCCATTGGGGGAGATAACCATGAATCTCTGAACCTCATGAATCATGGCATCTGTGTAGGGCATTTGCTTCCTGTCCTGCATGCAGAGGCTGCGCTGTCTGCCAATCACACGGTCAATCTCTTCCTGGACTTTAGCTGGTTAGGAGCAATGACAAATGTAGAAATAGTGAAAAGTAGCAGGGTATGTGTGGGTCTTTGTTTGCATAGTTTTACTCCAGTTATCTTATTAACCATCAGTGGGCAGGTTCAACACCAAACACTACTTGGAAATATATTTGTATTTTAACAACTGTTTTGTATATACTCAAGAATACATAATATTGAGTTATTGGTATACAAAAAGAAAACGTCAATTAAACCCACATCCTAGTTATAAATGCATCTATTAGAAATAAACACAGACACATCACACACATGTCAGTACATATGTACACATGCATCCTTTCACTTCTTTATAATAGACCTAGATTACCATGCTTAGCAATATGAATACTCATTGTGGAAAGAATTTCAGATACATAAATATCATTTCCTATGACAAATATCAGAGTTAGGTTTCATTTTTGATACATATTTTGATTGATGCATGTCTTTTCACTTTAATTTGTACTTTTCCCTTTTGTGAGTTACAATTACTTAAAGGTGGGTCCCTGCACCACCAGACAGGAAAATCTTTCTTATGGTTGAAAAAAGATATTGCTCAACAGAACTTTTATGTATTCTGATAAAATTCTAAATATTGACTTGAAATCATAATTTCAGCATTAATGAAATATATTTCTAAAGAACAAAACAGTGTTGAATTCTTCATAGAATGCCAAATTTCACAGGAAAAAAACATTAATATTAGGATTATTTACCAACTTTTGTGAGGTGAGTGCTCTTTTCTCCTCCCTACCAATAACTAAATTTATCAGAATGAAGAAAGTGACCACAAGAATTTGTCTTTTCTAAAAACCTGAAATTGGGGAAGAAGTCAATATTCAGCCATAGCTCCATATGTGCTTTAGGTGCCTAGAACAGACTTCCTGCCAGGGAGCTCAGAAAAAGGACAATCGTTGATGGATATTCTTCAGCTATGGTTTCTTCATTTTTTTTCCAGTTATGCTCCCCGTCATAGCCAGTAAACTGCAAGTTAAATACTGAGATTTTGAATAATAACAACACTCAGGTTACTGGCAGACTCTTCTCAGCATCTTCCCAGAATGCTGTGATTTACCACATGTGAACTCACCTGTGACATGTGGGTGCTTCAGTAGGAGCAGGAGAGCATATCTCAGTTTGCCTTTATTGTTTCTGTCCCACCAACAAACATATCAGTCAACATTCCTATCAGGTTTTCACGTGTATATATTGATTGTGGATTGCGATTTTCCTAGAGACGATTTGATACCGTTATCTAATAAATTTTCTCCTGCCACATCTAAGCTATCATTGAATATACAATATTGTACAATTATAGATTGTTGATAGCACAGAATCTGGAAGGTACATCGGTGGCTGAAATTATTATAGCATTTCAGAGACTGTGGTATAGATGTCTAAACTTCAGTTTTCTTACTTATATTTCCTGTTTGCCAAAATTGCACTCCTAAGATTATTTACCCCCCTCTCTCCTCTCTCTCTGTATGTGTGTGTTTTATATGCTTTCATTTGTTGTCTATTTTCTCTTATTAAAAACACATGTGTTTGAAGAATTTATGTTTCCTCTTATATGAACATAAGAAGACTCATTTGTAAAAGGAAAGCCTATATGCTAAACATAAAAAGAACCTTGACAGGCACTAGACTCTAATGTTTCATGTCTATTGTATGATAGTGACATGAGGGTTGCAAGTCTCTTTGTACCTGAGTTTTTGTAGACCCTTGATTTAAGGAACTCATAACTAGTTTTTCCCTTAATTAAAAGTACAGTTTGAATTAGAATAAATAGGAAAAATGGGGACATAAGGCTATCTTCTGAAGGCTCTATCAAGAACTTTAAAAATATTCTCAAGGATTTTTATGGACTAAGTATAGCTGTACACTCATTATTGAGTTCAAGTTGTTTAAAAGAGATGAAGCACAGTTAACAAGATTAAGTTCCCAGTCAAGATGACCTAGATCCATTCTATTAGGGAGTCAAATAGCAACATGATCTATGAATTAAGGAAGGGTGAATGACATATGTACAAATGAGATACTAAGTCATGAATATAGAACATGACCCACTCATGGCCTATATGGAATAAAACAGAAAGGATGAATAATGCATTTGACCAAGCTGTAAAGATGTTGTGCTACAGTATTGTCAACAAGATACATCTTGAGATGCTGAGGCAAGTTCAGAGATAAATCATTATTTTATAATTAGCAAATAGATAACATTTTCATGACTACTAGATAGTCTCCTGTTTATTAATATTGCATTGCTAACAATATTAAAGTAATTTACTTTTCCTTCAATGAAACCTGCCAAACAAAGAAAGTCATCTCTTTCCCTTTGTATTACCACTTCATGCGATTTTTTAATCATAAACTTGACATTGCTTGTGTCAAAATTTACCTTAATTAACTCTAAAGAATTACACTTTAAAAACTACAAATTATATTTATATATACATAAGTGCATTTGGATATACAGCAATGCAATTTTTGCTTATATCTTGTCAGTAAACATTACTTGTTGAGTGTAAGAATTGCTCAACAGGGAACACATGCATACTAATGCAACCCTAACCTCTTATTCTAGTGAGATACTTGTTCTAAGAGAAAACTCCCTACTTGCAGTTTAACAAACTAGTAAATTTCTTAACTGTATTAAAAGTATTTGTCCTAATACCCACACAGTAGTGATATGGGATGTCCTTCTGTATATTCGTTGGTTTTATTGGTTAATGAATAAAGTTGCTTTGGATTATGGCGGGGCAGAATTCTCCAGGTTGGAAAAGATACATACAGAGCAAGAGAGTAGGCAGAGTCAGGGAGACTCATTGTAGCTGCCTAAGGAGAGGACACCAGGATCTTACTGCTAGATCACAACCTCATGGCTATACACAGATTAATAGACATGGGTTAATTAAGATGTAAGAGTTAGTTAATTGGAATTCTGAGCAAAGAGGCTAAACAGTGTTGTTATTAATATAGTTTCTGAGTGATGATTCGGGTGTGTGTGACCAAAAAATAAATGTGTAGTCCCTGTTTACAAAATGGTGCCCACTATCTGGGACTTGGATCCACATAAGACCTAAAAGAGCTTTAAAAAACAGGACTTCAGGACTCACATAAACGGGAGCCAAGCATAGTTTCTTGGTAGCCACATTTTTTTTTTCAGATTTGCTCTGCTTTCTGATGGTAAGTATAGGCAGGGCTCTTTTAAGAAAAGGCTTCCTGGAGGTGGAGGCAGGCAGATCTCTATGAGTTCGGGGCCAGCCTGGTATACAAGAACTAATTCCAAGACAGGCTCCAAAGCTACAGAGAAACCCTGTCAAAAAAAAACACACACAAAAAAAGGAAAAGAAAAGGCTTCCCTACTCAGCATTAGTAGCAAAAACTGCACGGCTCTTTTAGGAGCCACCTTCCTGGTTCATGCTGGCAGCAAAAATGGCTCTGGCTTTTTGGGGAGGTATTGTTATAGAGCATTTAAATGGAGTTTGTGAGCAGAGTGCTTCAAATTGCTTCATGGTTACTTAGATCCACTGTTTCCCTGAAGCTGGGTCAGTGAGCATGACTTGCAGAGGCCATGAACATGCCTCTGTCATGTTAGACTGGCCAGAGCACACAGGCAGGGCTGTGGAGTTGGTCCTCGCCATGCCCACTTAGAATTAAATAAAAAAGCGCTTCTGGTCAGCAAGTGATTACAGATACACAGTAAAGACAGATTCAGACCAAAATAAGCCTCTGAAGGGGTTATAATATATTTAAAAAATATACAGAAGCTTAGGAGAAAGAAGAAAAAAGAGTATAGAGAGTTATAGAAACAAATAGTTTTATAAATAAAACAGTCTTTAAAGAGACAACAAAAGTAATATAAAAGAATATGGAGAGTTGTAGATTAAAGGAGTAAAGAAAAATAAGCCATATAAAGATGGAATACACACAGATAATCTGGATTATGTATATTATTGTGTTTTCTTTAAAATTTTGAATGCAAAGAGACATTTGATTCTGGGAGCTTCTAAGGTAAACCAACATAAAGATATCTTGACTTGAAAATTTTTGTCTTAAGGATATGTTGCTTTGGAAAGAGGTTCTGCTTTTGTTTGCACAGAAGATGACAACCTTCAGATTCCTTTCAGGATAATGGGTTTTGATGGGACAAGATTCCCTGAAAGGTTTCTGTGAATCCAAAAATACTTTGCCCAGTGAACCATAAGAAGAAGTTTGGAGAAAACTATGCCCAAATTACCAAAAATGATTATTTATAAATGTTTATTTTCATTTAAAGGTGGATACAATATAAAGGTGAATACTTTGCATTGGTGGTCTATAGATACAAATTTAAGGTTGATTTTTGTTACACTTTGTATATGTATTTCAGCTCTTGTTTAATTTATTGTGTGTTGTATAATTAAGAAATACAGGTTAATAGATTGTCATCTATAATAATCAAACTTTCAATTTGTTAGTTAAGTTTTCTAGATATATAGAAATATATTTCAGTTAGATAGATAATCTTCATTACTTGAAAGGCCTACAGAATATAGAATTTAAAATTTTTTAAGAACTTAGAATTTTCTTGACAATGAGACGTGTCTGCTTGGGGTGGCACCAATCTCCTTACAGAGGTTGAGGGCATTGAAGAAACTTGTTTTGAAATTTGCCTTTAATGTGACAAGGCTGGGGATTTGGGCAAAAAACTGCAGTTGCCTGGAGTTCTTGATGGTAGCTATATGAACTGTACATGCAGTACCCACTTAAAAAAATGACTGTCAAACTTGCTAAAAGAAAGAGAGACAGCACTTCAGTGTTCCTGCTCCATTAAAGAAAATGCCAGACATTCTGAAGGTCACAGAAGAAAGTGACTGACAAAGTACCAATATAGACTAAACAGCTTTTCAAATTTCCTGCTTCATGGAAAAGTCTGCTGGATACAATGAACCTGTGGATTGAAGATGGATGCACCAACATTACTGAGAAACTTTGGGTGACTGTCCAGGCAGCAAGATGTCTCTGTCAATTCTAGAACTTTGGAAGTGGCTTACAATGTACTTCCTATTTACTTAGGTACATTATATCTTTCTGGAGTCTTTGAGGAGTTGAAAACAGATAGTTAAAGTTGTAGTTTTCCTTAGTTATGATAAAGGATAAATTAGATACAAAATTTTGGACTCAGAAGGACAGGATAGATGATAAAGTATTTTCCTTAATTTGACAAATGCAAATTAACTAAATATCATTAACTGTAATTCTTGCTTCATAACTGTTTTGTTTTTTGTTTTACTACATTAAAATTAAAACCTTCCTTTTTATTTAGACAGAAAAGGTGAGATGATGTGGGATATCCTCCTGTATATGTGTTTCTTTTAATGTTAATGAATAAGATTGCTCTCGCCTATGGCAAGGCAGAATATAAGCAGGCTGGAAGAGAAATATAGAGAAAATAAGCAGAGTCAGGGAGACACTGTGTAGTTGCTGAAGGAGAAGAATGCCAGATCCTTAGTAATAGGCCACGGCCTTGTGCTTACACACAGATTACTAGAAATGGGTTAATTTAAGATGTAAAACTTAGTTCATAAGAAGCCTGAGCTAATAGGCCAATCTGCGTTGTAATTAATAAAGTTCCTATTCGATTATTTGGGTCTGGGCAGCCAGGAAACAAATAAGTAGTCTCCATATACGTAGTACTATAGGATTCACATCTAACCAGTGATGTTTCATTTTACAGCAGAAGGAGAAATCATCACCTATTAAACTGTGCAGTGCAATTGTCTATGGGATGTTCAGCCCCAGTTATAACATTAATGATACATCCATTGCACTTGAGGCTCAGGATATATCTTAGAATATGAGCAAGAAAGATAGCAATAATCATATGGAAAGAAACTCTGCTGCAAGATGACTTCTAGATTTGACAGGGAAGTTACACTCATGAAATCTCTAAAATATGGCTGCTGAATATGACCTAAATAATGATAACATCAAGTGTATGATGTTGTTTCTGAGAAGAGTTACATGGGAGTACAAGCTTAGAAGATGAGTTGCAGGCAATTAGAAACTGTGGAGAAAGAGAGATGCAGTCTTTCTCAGAGTTGACCACCAGAAAAGGTTATCAACTATCAAGTGCTCAGTCCTAAAATATACAGATAGTCAATATTAAATATTAAATATGAATTTATATACTTATCCTTATGCACTTACACATGTAGCAATAATTATAAAAGACAATGGACATTGAATATTAAAGAAAGCTTGGTGCATGGTAGATGTATGTAGAAGGAAAGGGCAGGAAGAAGTGGTGTAATTATATTATATTTAAACATACTAAAAATAACATTGACATTCTTTAGATAGTTTAGTTCAAAATAAAGAACAAAAAGGAGTAGAGGAATTTGATAACTCTGTAAAGGTCTGTGGTAATCTTAAGAAAATATATAAAGATAAATCTGGAGAGCAATGGAAAAAGACCCAACCTTCAGAAAGTGTATATAGAGACTGACATAGCATAAATCATGTTCTTTAGAATATCTTGGTAGAAAATTTCCAAAAACTAGACAAGGAGATTAACATCTAGGTATAAGATGTGTACAGATATGGAAATACATGGACCAAAACAGGATCTGGCATAATAATATTCTCAAAATATTATCATAAAAAGATCATAATCAAAATCAGAAAACAAAGGAAACTAAAAGTTTTAAGAGAGGAAAGTAAAATTACTCTTAAAGGCAGGGCTTTAAGAATTACATCAGGGTTTTCAACACAAACATTTAAAACCAGAGGGGCCCAGAATAATGTATTTCAGATTCTGAATAACAGTTCTCAACCTAGAATAATATACCCAGCAACATGTTTCATTAATATTAAGGAAACATATATATGAAATGTTGGCTAAAGATCTGAACCCCCTAAATGGACACCTACAGCAATGCATGCAGTATGAGTTTGGCACACACAGATCAACATCTATCCAGATGGACCCAGAATAATACATAGATAAGGAAAAAAGCAAAAATTCCTTACACATGAAAGAAAACTTAAAAAAGGGGTCTGGAAGCTGTGAATTATAAACTGTTAGGTGAAATTTTTGTGTGTTCTTCACAAAGGTAAATATGAAATGAGTTCAAATCAGAAATTCCATGCTGGGATATGTCCAAAGAAAATGAAAACGTGCCATCAAGAAACACATACACACATGTTTCTAAATGAATAGCTCAGAAGAGTCAGAGGTAGAAATAAGGCAAAGACACAGAAAGATGAATGAGTGTGTTGTTCTCATGCTTGTAAATGAAGGTTGCAGTACCAGGTGACCACTGTACAGAAACAAGCTGAGATTTTAGGAGCAACCAAGATTTTATGCATGTGCAAAAAGAGAGACAGTAAAGCCTCCTCTACTGAGAACTGATTTAGATGTCGATGTACTCTGTCAGACAGAAACAGGAAAGTCCATAAAGAAGAAAATGATACTCACAGTTACAAATAATGCCATGGAATTTGGAGATTAATTGTTAATGACTTGGTGTGTTTTGTAGAGTGAAGCAACATTTTGAAACAAGAAAGAGGTAGGTGCCCCAAATTGATGACTGGCAACATATGTTAATACTATCTCTGTTTAGTAAATTGCTCACCCCCCTTAAACGATTGACATTTTAGGTGCATTCTCTGTGAATTTGTACTCGCCTCTTTACAAATATTGACAACATCTCTTAAATTCATATAGAAATTTAAAGGATTCAGAATGGTAAAGCAGTCTGGCAGAAGAAAGTAGCAATGTTGAGAGACTCACACTTCTGGATTTTAAATACTGATAAAATGTTTCAATAATAAAGACCTCAGACACTGAATCACTAATAAAATATACAAACCAAGATAATGGTAGCACAACTGACTTCCATCACACCAGAATATTTATCATTACTTTTGTTTAAAACAAGATTGTCAAATTGTGGGAGAAACTCTTTCTGAAATTACACAATACCAACAGTTAATCCTGACAGCACACTCACATTTAACCTCTCTGGTATTAATTCATTAACTCATTAGAAATTATATTCAAAGCTTTACTCTTTCATCCACCTAATTTTTCCCGTGGTACACATCATTCATCCATTAGAAGTCATATGTGTTGTCTATCAGTGAAAATATGCACAGATCTCTTTTAATCTATATGATATGGAAGTGATCAAAACACAGTCATTGATGGTATTCATGTTCAAGTTAAGACAGAAGTTTGTGACTTACTACTGTATTGAAATTTGTTTTCTTTTGTTTGCCTTTTGTGTTGTCTTTCTACTATGCTAGATTTTTCAAGTTTTTCTTTTTTTGTTTTAATGAAAAAAACAGGGTCAAGGTGCTCTTATTAACAAATCCAACCATTTTTCTAGGCTTACAGTCATTTAAAAAATACTAAATTGCTTATCAAATGATATGGTTTTAAACATCATTTCAATGAAGTATAAAATACTTTAACAATTCAATAATTGAATAAATTGGTATTAACAATTTACCTGCATTTCTTTAATTAGAAAATAATCAATAAAGTCCCGTGGGTTGGTAACATCCAATGATTTCTCGTGTTCTTTTATTTTTGTCAAAAGGTAATTCTGAAGACAAGTAAAATTTTTATACAATGTGTTATGATTTCCTGGACAATAATCAATCAGAACATGGAAAATATTGCAAACCTGAAAGGAAATGCAAGAATTTAATAAAAATAGACACTGTATTAACTTAAGTAAGATATATTCATAATGACTAATTTGAATTGTTAGATAAAGAAATGATTCATATTCATCATAAGAAGGTGCATTAGTTACATTCTTTATTCTAATAGATAGATTTGAAGAAGAAATTTCTCCCCAAATAGTAAATGATTTTAGTAAATTTTTTGCCTATCTTTTAGAATAAATCATGTTCATATAAATTCATTGAAGGTGCAAATAAATTTTATCCTACATTTTGAAATACATGTGATTTAAATACTCACATACTTTCAATGTGACAATAGATGTTAAAATTTTGGGGTGACATTTACAGAAAAATCTAGTACCCAAGATCCAGTTTCTATCAACCATTTTCTGAAATGCAAAGACTATTTAGTGGTGGGAGTGACTCCAAGAAGAAGTGGATGGGTGGTGAAATCAATTATACTACATAGGCCTTAGAGGTTTCTCTTTGATCGCACAATCATTTTGTACCAGAGATCAAGAAATTCCAGTTTATACTAGTACAATTCTGTGAGGATATTTATGGTCCACACAGCATTAAAACATACATCTTTCCATTTTTAATTGACACCCTATAAACTAGAATCCAAATGACCCATTAAAGTACTGAAATACTCAGTTTTTACTGACAACTTTCTTTGTCTTTAATATTCTTCCTCCTTTGAGAGAATATTCTGTCTATACTGCAATAAGGCTCCCTATTAATTTGCTCAGAATGTGTTCAATGAAAAGCAGATACAGTATTTGATTAATAAAATGTTCTGTGAATGACTGATCACTCTTACTTATAGAAATGAATGCAGTATTTTAAGAAATAATTCTTAGTAATCAAGAGGAAGATTCATGGATAAGAAACAATCAGGCTTGAGTTAGTTGGCTTCTGCCTCTAAGTTTTTGCTATTTGTACACTTATGGGTTTAGTCCTCCTTTCCAAGAATTATTTCCATAATACATTAGCCCTAGTCAGCTGGTCACCTCCCTCCTTCTTGATCTATATTGTATTTGAGCTGTTTGAAAGAAAAACCATAGGTATGTTCTCAGAAGGAAATGATATTGGCTTTACCTGCACCCAGAGAGTGCTCAGAATCTTAGCGTTCTCATTCAGTTTTTCCAACAAGCTAACAAAATCCTGATCTTTATATTCAAAACGATTTTGGAAAATAATGGAACAGACGACATTGCAGGGAACACAGGCCAAGATGAAGGTAGGATCATAGGGTGAACCTGAAGAGTTGGAAACAAATGCCAAATGCTACTAAAATATACAAAAAAGAAATTTTTCTTTTGTTAACTACTTAAAGTAATTTAACCATTTTAAATGTTATTATAATTGTGAGTATACTTAACCACTATATATTTACCTGGTGAAGAATACATAATCATATTGATATTATATCTCAGTTAATCTTCACAAATAAAAATAGTTCACATCTATTTTACTAACTGCTTTAACTTCAAGTATATGTTATTATCTTAGAAAAGATTTTTACTTATTTCATTTTGACTATGGTTTTCTCTTTAAATAAGGTAATTAGGGGTCATGGAATAAATAGCACTCAGTAACAATTATTTTGGCATGATTATAACCCAAACCTGAAGTACAGGCTATTATATATATAAATGTACTAGACATTAAATGTAAGTTATTCTATGGAGTAAAGGGGAAGCATATCATACACAACATACACTATGTCTAAACATATTGAAATTCTACTATGAGATTAAAATGTGAAAACTCTACTCACTTCTGCTAGAGAGTAAATGAACTATTTTTGATTCTCGAAGTAGTATCAGCGTTTACATTTAATCACACGTCAAATCTATACTCTGAGGACAAAGCAACCACAGAACACATGAAAAATGCTTATTGGTTCTTCTTTCCTGGATCATGCAATGTGCAATGAGCACAGTTACAAGCCTACTTTGGGGTGGCCATATACCAACTGAAAAGTCACAACTCCTTGATTGAAAACTTTGTATTAAATAAGCAGGTCATTTTTATTTCTCGTGAGGATGTCATACTGTCATTTGATCATCTGTGTCTCTTAGACTGACAGGTATCACCAGTTGTCCATCTGAACAGATACTGATAAAACATTTAGAGCCTTCTGTATCCTAATATGTAAGGTCACTAAAAAGTTTTTGTTTGTATTTTGCAAGTTTTGTAGCAGAACAATCTACCAAGCTCAGGGATCTTACTGTAAATGGTGTAACATCCTAAAATTATCCAATTACTTCAGCATTGGTCATTCAGAGTCCAAAGTTTGAAGAATGACCAATGCCAATTATTTATTTTTGTAGCTATATATGTGTGGTCTTATGAATCCAACACTAGAGTTCTAAAATATTTATCAAATAAGCAAACTTCCATTACTCAGTGATATGTAAGGACTCTCTAGCTATCTTTATTGGGCTTAATCATAGAGCATTCACAATAATAGCATTTTGATATGAATTGTAGTATGATATTAAACCATTTCAGCTCTTGCACATACATGGTGCACTTCTGCCTGATAATAGAAAAAAGTTTCCAGCAGTACATTCGTAAGTTAAGCTGCATCCATACATTTATGTGTCACCAACATCAATGTCTTCACCTCATCCTTGGCAGATATCAGCGTTTTAAGCTTTGGTACACTAACAGTTTTTGAATATACCACTTAAATACTTTCACCTTCAACTCTTCAATTCTTTTATCATGAATACGCCAGGACAATAGCACTGAGTTTTGATTGTACTGCATGGACTGGCCTTGTGGGAGCCTAGTCTCTTTGGATGCTCACCTTCCTAGACCTAGAGGGATGGGGGGGGGAGGGCCTTGGATTTCCCACAGGGCAGGAAACCCTGACTGCTCTTAGGACTGGAGCGAGAGGGGGAGAGGGAGTGAGGGGAGTGGGAGGGTATTGGGACGAGGTGGAAATTTTTAATAAATAAAAAAAGAAAAGAAAGATACTTCCTCCACTTACTTATACATTTTGTAAATAATTCTATTTGGACATACATCACTTTGGCAAGTCCTTTTGAGACATATTTTTTGTAGACTATTTCATCCATCTGGGGAAGATGTGTACCACTTAAAGGTCTGTATCACACATCTCCTTTAAGGTATGTCAAATCCTTGCCTTCTTTATTTTTCTTTCACTTCTTGAATTGCTGCTACCATTCTAACTTGAGTTTTGATAATGAATATCCAGATATTATGATCTTTGTGAAACAAGCCTTGATATCTACAGACATTATAAGAATTAACTATTGTTTGTTCCTTTTGTTTGACATGCAGAACTGTATCAGGATTCTCACACTCAAAACAGAGAAAAAAAACCTTTTTGAATACATCAAAGAGTACCTGCAGCTTATTTGTTTCTTGGGATCCACTGAAAATGTAGTAGTCATTTTTGATTCGAAATGTGTCTGTGCTTCAAGGTCACAACTAAAATATTTAGGTGGAACTGCTGGAGGCTTTTGAAATGTCATTCATGTTAATTATAACTCTTTTGATTCCAGTCTTATGCCCCCAACCTTGGCAATCAAATAGGGCAAGTTATTGTAATAAAAGAGTTTGACATAATATGATTGACAGGTACTTTGGCATTTTCAGTTGCTTCAACAATCAGGTGAATGGATCTTTCATTGTCTTTTTTTGTTTTATTTTTCTGCAAAATAAGGACTTACATAAATTACTGCAAGAGTTCTTGCTTACTTACATAAAAATATTTTTACCACTAAAGTTGTAATCTTTTTGATTCTGTGAAATGTTTTTTGAGAATAGGTACCAGTGGCTACTCAACATCTCCTTTCTCAAATAAAGATATAAGGCCTTGGGGCTCAACAGTAATAGGTAAGAAGAGCCACCGAAATCTGTCTGGATTGGCTTCTGTCCTTGTGTGTGCAGGGGTGAGAAGTCTGTGGGACAGTCTCAGCAATGCTCCCATCTGTGTCAGTAGTGCCTAATTCTGGGAAACTGGCAAGGACAATTCTGTGAGTCATGGCTTAATCTGAGTTCTAGGCAAGCCTTGTCTACAGATCTACTTACAGGCCATTCAGTTCTACACAGAGAAATTCTATTCCAATAAACAAACTATAAAAACAAAACAAAATCAAACATAATAATCCATTGTGCTAGTAATGTGGAATAGAAGGAATCATGCAGAAACATCCAAGAATTAGGAGGAAAAAAATTTGAAAAACAGGGTATATCAGTGTTTATGGGAAGAAAGTATAAAAGCAACAACTTTAACTATAACATGAACTGTTTAGATAATTAAATTATATAAGAGCCTATATTTGCAAAGTCCATTACAGGTAAAGCAAAAATCATGAGGAAACTCTTGAAGACTTTTCTTTTCACATATTCATGTTTAAAACAATAAATTTGGCTGTTTACAAAAGAGTTATTTCATCTTAATACCTGGAGTGATAGTATAATAAAAGCAAAGTGGAAATAATGGAAGAAAATTGAAGAAAATATCAGTATGACTTAAAACAAAGTCCATGATCTGTCATTAGAAACTTGTCCCCACAGTCTCATTCCAGCATCCAATGGATTTTCAACAATATAAAGAAATATTATTTATTCTGGCCAAACTTCACATTCAACATTTGAGTAAACTGACAGTTGTGGATATTTTCATTGCTACTTCAGGGTAAGTATCAAGAGAGTATATCACAGAAATGATTAAAATGTATATATTACATATATCATGTGATTGATTTCACAAGTATAGAAAATGAGTAACCAGATTCTGTGTTGATTAGTTTTAGTCAAGTTGACACAAACTACAGTTAACACAAAAGAAGGAAACTCAGATGAGTAAATGCTTCATCAACCTAATCTGAGTCCATATCTCTTCATGCTCTTCCTTCATTTCTGATGATGGGGGGGACTCAACATACTATGGGCTATATCACACACATGGCTGGATTATTTTTATGACAACACAGAAAAGAATGACAAGACAGGAGAAAATGATTATTTCCTTTTATTCCTTTCATTGGTGAATTTGCTGTGACCAAGAGACCAATATTCTTTGTATTGAAGTTGATCCTAATTTATGTAGACTCAGATAAGCGCCACTTGATTTAACAAAGTTGGGCTACTGAGCATAAGAAATTCTTTGAACTTACTGATATTTTACTAGACAATTAACAAAATACATTACTCTAAGAAATTCCAAGTGTTTAATCAAAGCATATGAAAAATAAGACTTTGAGATTGTTATTGTATATGTGCCTGCCACTCATATTTAAAATTTGATAACCAGTCTTTTATTATATTTGTAAAGAATGCTAATTCAGTAAGGAATTCACAGAGAGAATAAGATTCTTCCTTTACAAGCAACAGGAGAGTAGCATCCAGAGTGTTAGCAAAGTAGCAGCCATCATTTTTCTAACACAAAAACCTAAAGGGGAAAATGACATGCAAGACTGAAGACACACAGGGAAATGCTAGCGTGCCAACAAAACCATACTGTTTTAGTGAAATTAATCATCTTAGTAATTTCATGTATACATTTATTTTGAATATTTGTGTTGAGTCATGTTTTATTAACATCAAAAATCAGAACACTAAATGCTGTTCAAGAAGAAAGACAATAACATTTTGAAACCATGCCAAAAACAGAGATTCATTAATAAAAAAGAATCTACTACACTCAAATAGGAAATAAAATTATTACATCACACCACAGTTACCAAGAACTACAAACATAATCAAGAAGGACCTTAAACACTTTAGAGAAGCAGTCTAGACCATTGTTATTTAAGAAATAAAGGAAAAGCGAGGAAAGAAAGGTAAAGAAAAGAAAGCTAATACAATCTTTTCTAGGATTCTAATGTTTTCTTAGTAACTATTGCTATTGGAAATTGTATTGTGATGAGATGAGATGCAAAGGAAAAACAATTTTTGATCAGCGGAATGCATGGCTCCATAATGCCATAGAAAATTAACATGAGACCCATACCCATGACATCTCTTTAGAAAACAATGCTCTGAATAGAATGGGAACAAACTGACTAATGCAGATATGCATAGAACAAGATGTAAACATCAGATTATAAACTTGCGCTTACCATTGGTTTTCTTGAGTTCCTCTACAAGGAACCGTGCTTCCTCTTGAATATGGTTCTCAATACTCCTTTGCCCCATGCCCAGTTTCCTCAGGGTTGTGAATGAGAAGTGCCTTGTTTCTTTCCATGCCTTTCCATTGCTAAAAGCAACACCTAAAGAAATTGGAATAGAAGACTAGGGAGTATGTCTGAGAGATAGATAAGGAACAGACTAGTCGCAAACTAGTCTCAAAGTTATTCCTGAAAAGCAAACTTGATCTCTGCTTTCCATCCTCCATCTCACTATATATACTACTCAGTATACACAGAAGCACATGCATACTTACCGCCTTTTAAAACCATATCAAAAATTGGGATTCTTGCTCTTCCATTAAATTCCTCCCCATGACCTATGAGAGCTTCTTTTATTGCCTCATAGCCGTACAATACCACAGTGGGTTTCATGCCCAAATATAAAGTGAACACAGGGCCATAGATTTTAGAGAACTGGAATGATAATAGAAAACACAAATATTCTAAATTTGTCACTGTCATTTACCTAGTCATACTGGCAATAGAACTGTGTTATAATGTTTTTATGCAGAAAAACTAAGTTTAAAGTTTGCATATATCTTTCAATATGATGATTGTTTCATATAGATGACCTATTGTGTGCCAGGCAATATCCCAGGCCGTTTATAGTCTAAAGAGAAGGAATCACCTTACTATGATATTTAACAGGTCATTTTGTCATAGTTCAAAAAGTACCTGAAGTAAAAATTTCACACTTATTTTCTGGGTTCTAATGCAATGGAATAGAGTTTTCAAATCCACACCACGCTTATCCATTTTTGGATAATGCATATCATTCTCACACTAACTACATACCAAAATAGACATCAATAGTCACATGATTGCTGTGGATGCAGGTGCAAAATCCTTCCTGTTTAAAATTAGAGAACCTATGTTGAAGGATAAACATTTAAACTTTTGGGTCACCACAATGTTCAAATTCCATCTTCATCTATTATTACCAAAGTAAAGAGTAGGTAGGCATCACAGAAGCTGCACCACAATATACAGCACCTGTAGAAAAAATATTCTCATAATGCAGTATTTTTGGTCCCAGGCATAGGCTTTGCATGACATCAAAGGAGATCGGGAAACTACAGTATAAGCTAAGCCACACTGTTTATGGTTTCCTTTTCCTGTGTGATGCTATGCCCATTGCTTTACTTTTAATCAGGATCCAATCAATTCTAAAGAGTAAGGCATGAATGAATAATTCAACAACAATGTTTGTCTACAACTATTACTTATTTAAAGAAATATTCATTGTAATGCTAATTTCAATTATTCTTAATAATAAACACCCAGAGTGTTTTAGATATTAGGGGGTGAAAGCTAAGAGATCAGAGAAACAGTGCAGCCAATCACTAGAGTTTTACCTCCACGGAATCCTCAGTCCCAAAGAGGTGATCCTGTCTTTATGAATCCTCAAACTGCATCTCCAGACTGAATCCTAAGACTGAATGCTCAGACTGTATCCTCAGAAGGCATGCTCAGAGCACATCTGAGCTCTTGTCTCCTCCCGCCTTGTGTCCTCTCTCTGCCCAACCATATCACTTCCCTTCTCTACCTTTCTGGTACTGGGATTAAGGGTATGAGCAACTACCACCTGACTCTATTTCTTTTTGAGACTGGATCAGTATAGTGTAGCCTAGGGTGGCTTTGAACTCACAAAGGTCTGTCTGCCTTTGTCTTCCAAGTCCTGGAATTAAAGATATGTGTCACCACTAAACATACCTTTAATTAGTTCTCATTTAATTTGCACATACCTGAAATTAGTCCTGTACTCTGATCTTCAGGCAAGATTTATTTGTTAAATCACAAAATATCACTGCAATCCCTCACTCTTCACTATCAATAAAATAATGGAAAATGATTATGAAAGGAGGACTTGAAAAAGTAGATAAAATTTTTAATTCTGTGATTATTTTATAAAATGCAGTGTCCTTAATATTCTGTAACCTGAAATCTTGTTTATTACTAATCCCAACAGCAGTATTGCAGGCAAGTCTCAGAAAAGACAAAAACAACCTTACTGTTTTTCATTTTATACCCATTTAAAAATATTTTCTCTAATACTGGAGTTTCTTTGAAAGCAGCATCACTTATATCTCTCTTTAAAAAGTGCCAGACAAGCATGAGGTATACTTACATTGGTAAAGGATTGGTGAACATTTTTTACATTTATCTGGTGGATATTGCCAATAATTGGCAGAGGAGTAGGTCCAGGAGGTAGCTTCCCTCTCTTAGAACTCCATTTCCAGTGTGAGAGGAGAAGCAGACATGTCAGAATGAGCACTAAGACCAAGACTAGATCCATGGTTAGCCTTCCCACTGACACACATGTGATCAGATGGTACAGAGGTTTTATAATGCGGCCATTGAACTGACCTCTTGTACTTTGGAGCATCATTGAGTAACCAACTAGGCACTGTTTCAGCTCTCTTCCAAGTAGACTTCGTCCCAGTGATAACAAAAAATAAACAGCTATTTTGGTTTGTCCTTTATAGGGTTCCTCTTAGTAAATTTGAATTAATTTTACAGAGTTATGACCAAATATTGGTCATAAATATGAAAAAAGAATTTGATATTTTTAATGTATGTCTTTCTTTGAAAATAATTAATTTTTAGAAAGTATTTTATTCTGAAATTATACTACAATTATGTCATTTTACACTTTTCTTTTTTCAGCCAAAAATTTCCATATTTGCATTTCCTTGTTATCTTTCTACTGTGTGTCCTCTTTTGTTTTCTTGTTTTTTAAAAACAGATTTGTTTATGTATTCACTATGTATTCAGTGTTCTTCCAGCATCTATGCCTGCAGGTGAAAGAGGGCACCAGATCTTATTACAGATGGTTGTGAGCCACCATGTGGTTGCTGGGAATTGAACACCAGACCGCTGGAAGAGCAGTCAGTTCTCTTAACCTCTGAGTCATTTCTTCACCTGTTTTGTTTTTAATGCTTATTTTATACACATATATGTGTATATTGCTTAAAATATCATATATATATGTTTCTAAAGATACAGACTAATCAATATGTATAAACTTGATAGGAAAGATGTTTTCAGCACTGGGCATTTCAAACTATATAACTAAGCATTGTTCTCTTCCTTGTGGAATCCTATTTCCCCTCTGTCACTATACCTTAATTATTGGTATTTTCTTGTGTAGGGCTGAGATCCTCTTATATTTTCCCATCTCTGTAAACCTGTCTATTTGTGTTGCCCCTGAGAAAGATTTTATGGGTGTACCTGCTGACATTCCTAGGAGACATAATCAACTGTGTTAACTTTTATATGAATGAAAGTCTATCATGTATCTTCATTCTAAGTTTATTGTTCATGCAGGTACATATATTTTATGGATATTTTGTGCACTTTATGATATGTGCTTATTTAATAAAATCTTACAATTTTCTTTTCTCAATTGGTCTCAAAATTGCAGCTCTGTTTGTGCTTGCTCGCATGGCTAAATATATAGACACACAAGACTGTATGTATATTTGACAGGATTTTAAAAATGGTTATTGTTAAATTAAAACTATAGACACATATTCTAAATAACTGACCCTAACAAGTATATAACATATACTTTGAACAGAATAACTAAGAAAAAAATGCCTTATATTAGTCCAAAAATTTTAATAAGAAAAACACTGAGTTGTTACTTAGAGAAAGTTGTATAGATTTTTACCATGGTGGAACTCAACAGCGGAAATTCCAGGTTATTCTGTCTTTTCTTTTTTCTATTGGTGACAGTGTAACAGAAGGTCTGCCAATGTTTCACAGTTCACAGCTAGAAGAACTGAGAATTCAATGTGATTGTCTTGTAGCTGCAGGTATTTCTTCTGTTTCTCACACAGTTTCACATGTATTAGATTTCTGTATATCCCATCATGTCCAAAGTGATCCTGGGTCAGCATAACGAACAGAATAACTATGTACATGCACTTGAAGAAGTGTAACTGGTAGTTTTTGAATTCCTCCTAGAGATATTACCTGTGTTCTTTATGTTCTCCTCTTGACAAGAATTATGACAAAATGCTGTACAATAATGAGTGTTTTCTAAATATGGAGTAGCTTCCTGGGGTATAATAGAATATGGGTATTAGTTTAAAATTACTATAAAAGGACCAAATATGAAGAACTGAATGGGTAGAGAAATTATTGAAGAGAATGGCATACCAGAACAACATTGATTATTTGAGTGGTACTGACATTAGTCATCAAAAGCTCCCTCTCTTAAAAAGTTATTATGCTTGTTATGATTAAGCAGTATCTCATAAACTTCTTCAGTATGGGAAGCTGTCTTCTTGATACTTGCTAACATCACATTTTATTAGTCATTCTTATAGTGCTTCTGTACATCTTGAAATTTGTAGACAAAATTGATGGATCTAGATAATATCATATTGATTGAGCCAACTCAGACCCAGAAAGACAAATATCACATATGCTCACTCATAAATGTCTTTAAGACATAAATTAAAGAAAAAACACCCTAAAAATCACATTTCCAGAGAACCTAGAAAGCAAAGAGGACCCTAAGAGAGACATGCATGGATCTAATCTACATGGGAAATAGAAAAAGGCAAGATCTTCTCATTAACTGTAAACATGGGGACCATGGGAGAGGGTAAAAAGGGAAGGAGAAAAATGAGGGGAGTGGAAAAAAATATATAGCTCAACAAAAGCAATTTAAAAACAAATAAAATTATAAAAACTCAGTGGTAAGATGCTATTGCTGATTATACTTCATTCTTGAGTTCAGGTACACACTCCACTCATCCTAGTAGTCTTAGTTTGGTTTATCCTTGTGAACTCCTTGGTGTTTATCTGGTACCAGGTTTCTCCCTAACCCCCAAATGCTTCCCCACCAAGATTTTTCTTTAGCTAATTAATGCTATATAATATGATGAATAAATTGAAAGAAAACACAAATATACGAATCTACATATTCTTAGCAAAACCACTCATGTCAACTATAATTCTCACTTCTATAACTGTTCATGTGGCCTTATCTGATATTTATAACTACATTCCTCTCCTACGCATTTTGGTTTTGCTTCAAACTCAAAAAGCACTACAGATAGCCTTGGTTCTTTGCCTGACTAAGAGACCTACACTTTCATTCCTCAGTGGTCTATGTCATCCTGACAGGTTTAGGCAGTTGTAGTTTTGCATTAATCTTAATCACAGGACTTGCTATAAGCAAGGGATGCTCGAAGTGATTTCCTTCACTCCAGACATATTTTTCTATCTCCATTGTGTTGCAGCAACCCAATTTCCCCATTATAATATATATCAATTGCCCCTCCTAACAATATTTATTTCCAAGCCTTTAAGTTCAAGGGCACCAAAAACCTAAAGTAGCCAGGGAAAAGTTTGAACTTATAGTTCAAAGAAATGTTTATTATGCTTCTGGCAGGATTGTTTCCACAATTATATGTAAAACTTCTATTCCAGAAGAATTCAATGTGAATGGAAAGGAAACAAAAGATTTTCTAGTATGTGAATAGTGGTTATAATGTGTGTGATTTTTTTTCAGACTTTGATTCATTAACCAGTGGATCTTGGCTATGAGAGAAACTATAACATGTATTAGATGCTAATTCAATGTATATACTGCCCTCTGGAGAACCCTATCTATGTCCTCCAGGGTGCTGACACCTAATCGACATTGTAACTGTGTTTTCTTAAGGTTATTTCATTTTTGTTTTCTATTAGGTCAGATGCTCCAGGATGTAAGGACACGATTAGAAAATACATGCCATGATATGGGGCTTGTAATCACACTTCTCTAGCTGCCACATGAGTTTGTTAGTGAGAAGCAATACTGTACAGAATAATATGGAAGTGGATAAGCTATTCTCTAAGTCCAAAGATGGTGGCTTTAGCAGAGGTATTATGTACAGGAGAGGAACCTCCATAATAACACCAGAATATGTATTCACTTCTATATGGTTAACACATTGTCCTTTCCACATATAAAGTGGTACAGTGTTATAAATCTGCTACGAAGTCATTGGCTGGTCAGCCCAGGTATGGTGCCATATCTGGGACTCTGGTGTTTCTCTGCTGTGTAAAGGTCTGTCACTCAGTGGTAGGTGTTGACAGGTCAACTTTGGTGAGTGGATGTTGATTTTTGTCTAAGCCATTCACAGATCCCATCTTGACAGCCATGGTTACTTTGTTTATGGGTCTGCTTGTCAGTGAAAGAAAAGGTTGAGGGAAAATGGTGACAATACACATAATGTGTCCTTTTATCTACTGGGTTATTAAGTGTTTCCTCAGTTGAAGTCCCAAGCTGATGAGCATTTACGTGGGGGAACAATTATTTTCATATACCTCACCAATTAGGAGATCGATATCCACAGAAATCTTTCTCACCAATTTTCTAATCATACTCTGCTCAATACACTGACCATCCAACAAATCAAAAAAATCAGTGAACAATCTCACATCCGGCCATTTATCCTTCCAAACAAAATGTATTAGCTTGTATACAGTCCAATGTTTTTTAAACTGAAGAATTTTGGTTGCTAATATCTTTTAGGGTTGTCCCAGAAAGGGGTTATAATACACTACCTGCCCAAGTCTGGGTGTGACTATATAATGTCCAGGACCTTTAGTAAATCTGGCCATAGTCTTCTCTTCCTCAGTCAGTTAAACTTAGAGAAACCCCCATGAGACTATATCCTCATACCTGGCAGCAGATGTCATTGTAATGGGAGTGGAGACGATCGGCCTTTGGACAACTTCTTCATGTAACTTGCTTGTTCCTTCAGTGCCTGCTTGGACTACATCATACATATATAAATTTCATTTGATATGATATGGTTGCTGTGCATAATCTACTTTTTGACAAGGTGATTCAAATAATACCTAGCTCATTATGGGTGGCTCAGGTTGCAGAGTACACTTGGTAGCATCCTGTCAAAAGTTCAGCTTTGGATAAAGCCCTATAGCAGACCAAGAGCTGCCTTTTAAAGAAAGGATAGTTGTCTGTACAAGATTGTAGAGACTTGTCCCCAAAACCCAAAATATTCTTCTGTGATCTCTTATAGGGGCCTGCCAAAGGATTCAAAGAGTATTCCTACCTTCTACTGAAACCTCTAGTATAATTTATTCTTCTAGACCATATGGTCCAAGTGGTGGAGTGGCCTGTATAGGAAATTGCACCTGCCAAAGAGCATTCTGCTATACCAACTCCCATATGAAGTTAGTAGCTTTTGAAGATACTTGGTATAGGAGTCAGAGTCACACAGGGAAATGAAAAAAGTACTGTCTCTAGAATCCAAAAAGATCCATTAAATGTTGTTTTTCTTTCTGGTTGGTGAGAAGGGCC